AATAATAAATTTGATTACAAAGCCCGGTTTCAGTGGTTGGATTTTATCTACGGTTATGTCGTACATACCAAACACTTTTACCTGAGAGCAAATGTAGTTAGTACGTATGTTGGTGTCTCCTCTCCTTTGCCGAATGTGCAGTGCAACACTGCCGTGTTTTGTATATCAAACATCTTCATATTCCACCTTCTTATTTCTTAGTTTACTGCAAGGACTCGACCCTTCTCATAAGAAGTACTAGGTCGTTGCTACAATTCCATTCCGTGGGTTTTCTTTGTATCCCAGGTTTTGTCTCCATTCAGCGGTTGCTTCTCATTCGAAGATGATATGGGTCGTTTTTTATTCCTCCTCATTGTATAATCTACGAATGTATTTATCATCGAATGTGCTCATGTTGTTTAGATGTTTTCTCGTTTTCTCAGATGGTAGTCATATATATATATATCATTCCTCTAACTGTTTGTTGCCCTAGTTGATTTTGCCCACTCTAACTGTAGCAGTCAGTTTGCCAGTGTTGGGGACGGTTTTTGAACATGTGCTTACTTTTCCATTTCCTTTTGCCTTTTTTGATTTCATTCTGTAATGGGGGATCTATGTTTGGTTTTGTTATCCTAAGAATAGGTTCAGGGCTAATATGGTGCAGGTCATCCTTTGGCCCAGTTTGCCAGCTTTTTCGTTATCCATAATTGTATCCTGGTACTCAGAAATCATCAGGTAATTTTGTTTTCAAAATTATAATTAGGTTATATAGATAATTAGGTTTTGGAAATTTTGGTAATGTATATATATAATATGGTAAATTTCAAAATGCAAATTTTTGTTCAAAAGTACGGATTTAACCAAATACACATATCACTTTTCTCAAATTCTGAGGCAGAAAGATTAAAAATAAAATTATTCTAAAATACAAAAAATAACGCCTGAACAATAAACAAATATATTATTTAATAGATTGTTGTATATTGTCTATAAATTTATCTAAACATTTTACTCTAAAACAATTGCGACAATCTCCAATAATACAGGATCATCATCACAGAGCGTTTTTTCCTCTTAGAATTTTTCCTATGATTTTATATATTATTTCATTAGATGCTATTATTATTATTATGTATATAAAACTAGCTTCTACCCACGACTTCGTCCACGCGGGATGTACCTTTCTAATGCGATGCAGAGTGGCTTTCTAATATAATGTCTTGTTTCTCAAATTCTTCTCTTCTTCAGTTCACTTCAGTCTATAGTAAAAAATTGTCCCTTAGGGTTGAAATTAAAAAGAAAAAATCCTTTCTTAGCGGCTATCCATGTGACTATAGGACTGCACTGTCGAAATTTCAGTCCTTTAGATCCTTCGGTTTAGTTTGTGCGTTGTCTCTCAGTCAGTCAAAGAACTGTTTTATTAATCTGCATTATTTATATCATGATAATTCTGAGTCAAAACCCGGCATGTAGAGAAAGGTTGCTTGATGTGCCCTACCTAATTGAAGGTTGCAAATCCTTGGCTCTTTATAGAGAGAGTGTAGGCTTGCTACGAAACAGGCAAATCGTGCTTGAGCATTGCAGCGAGTATCTGGGTCTCCTGTTCCGATTTTTAGGAGAAAACAGGGTTATTCTATTCTATATAGTAATGATAGATATGATGGATTTGTGCCCCTGGCTTGTGTTGAAAGTGAATGTATTTATTAGCGTGAATGTGTAGGGGGTTAATGGCTGGATATTGAATACTTCATGAACCCTCAATGAGGTTAGTGGTATAACAGGTGTAAAAGTAAAATTCTCCATCACTCTAATTGAGAGAATGGAATGTAAATTGGAGATAATGTATGTATAATGAGTGAGAATGGTTTTGATCTATGAACTGATTGCGCTGGGTGCTGCTACATAATTGGAAACATTAACCGGGGTGTTTATGCTTTTCAAGTATCTATGAATTGATATCTGAAACTAAGAAAATCCAATTTGTTTTATATATATTAATAATAATGTGTAGGGTATAGAGTTCGACTTTATGCTTAACACTACATACATATTTTATTTTTTAAGTACTTAATGTGACCGTAACATTACACGAAGATAATGGCATCCTGATGTTGTTTTCAGTCTGTATTGTGCCGCCGTTCATCTATCAGACTGTTGTGTGTTTATATCATTTTATTTTTCACCAACGACACCATAACGAATTTAGTTGGATTAATAGAGCGAGGATGAAAGATGGTCAGATCCTTTGTTTATGTTCTAACCGTCCTGATAATAGTTGTTTACTTCAAAGTGTTAAACTTGGCAGCGAGTACGATATTTATTTAAAGCTTGACTTTTTCCAAACACAGTAAATTTCATTTTGATGAACGAGTAATTGTTCTACTGTTGCGGATACGTCGGATGTTCCGCCGATTTGAAATATCCGCATCACATTGATAGGCGGAGAGGAAAAAATTTTGTCTTTTGAGATTCGTCTTTTATATGGCGTTAGGACCTCGCGTTACGGATAATCGTAAAATATTTTAGATATAGAAAACAGTTACAATATAGGCTTTGACCGATAGACACATTACGGGTATTATAAGTTTATGCCTCGCCGATGACGGTGGGTAGATGGTTTCTGCCAACGGGAGAAAATTGACGTTACATCACTAGTTATGTCCATTGCGTTTTATGTAATGCACCGCCGGATTTGTCCTATATTGACCGTTTCCACACCTGTCATAAGTTACCGCAAATTGGTTTAAATTGTTTTCCGGTTCGGACAGTCGAGGGTCATCTCGCTTTTATAATTCAAAGCGTCAATATTACGTAGTGAATTATGAATATTATTTATGTACTGTTTTATAATTACGAATAATATTTTAGTTAAATTTCAAATTGTATACCAGAATCAAACAGTTAATAGTGTTTTTCTAAAGTTGTAAGTCAGCAGGAGGGTTCCACGATACCGTCTGTCAGCGATAACGCCATATCGAATCGAAAATGGCGCTCATAATGCGGCATACAATAGGCCCCTTCAATGCATATCTTCCCCTGAGGATAACGCACAAACGAAATATAAAAAAAAGAAGATAATAGGATAGAACTCTAGCTTCTGAGGTGCTCTGGTATGAAATATTCGGTCCAACTCGAAAGAATGTCCGAGGTCGCACGTGAAGGATCACGATCTCGAATTCTTCGTTCATACTCTTAAGTAGTCCGCAGTTCGATCATCCTGGTATCGAGTCGGCGCAAAGGAAGGAGACATAAAGAGAGAATCACTATGACAAGACGGCCAATCTGCGAGGTGAAGAACCCCGATTTTGGCTGTTGCTTCAGTACTCACCACGGTTGTAACTGGTACTAGCATAGCAAAACCAGCAAATATTACAAAGAAAATATTAGAAAGTTTTCCGATTATAATAGTCGGACTCGCTGGTTTGCTCTCTGAGACTCGTTTTAATATCTCGCCATTTTCAGTAATGTGTTTGATTTAATGCTGTGATAGGCCTAAAAACGTCTGACGGATAAAAGCGAGGATAGGCGGACCAGGATGATTAGAAAGGACCTAATTACAAAGTTCTTTACTTCGCGGCATTCAACAAAAATTCTCACAAGAAATAACCAACCCTTGTTCCCTGGCACTTCTTTTGCCACAGATTCCATTGGCAAGTTTTGTCCTTTTTGATTGCCTGGTCTGGGTAATCTTGCTCTTTTAACTATGTTAAACCATATTCTTCCCTGGGTGACCTGAAATTTGCTACTTACTAGTTTGGTAGTTTCTATTCTCGGTCCATTTCCCCCACTATTTTAGTTTGTTTGATTCAAAGCTGATTTAAAATATTAATCCATATATGATTAGCCGAAGGTAAAGGTTTCGAATTCCTCTCGTGACATTAACTTTTTCATCTCAACCAAAACCATAGATAAAAAGAATAATTAGGTGATTTCAAAAGTTCATCATCGTAGACATTAACATGAAATTCATTGCCTTTGGCACCCTTCTTTTGGCAAGGTAATGTAAGTTGGTAAAGAAAAAATGTCATAGTGTATGTTTTTTGGAATTTCGTAGGAGTGATACGTTTGTGGTTGGTTCTTAGCCAATTCAATGTTCTATCTCATTCAGCATAATCCACGTAGGAGAAGAACTCGTAGAAAGAATGGCCTAGAAGTAGTTTCGTTGCTTTCGTCATCCTTGTTGCTTTGGTCTATCGTTTAACCAAGGTTTAATATGCGCACCAGAATGACCCTCAATGTTTTAAACACGCGCTTAATAGCTTAATCGGTTTTGATCATTGTTTTGTGACTATCGTCCTGTTGTGATCTGTCAAAGAATACAAGATATTTATGATATCTGAGTTGCTGAACACTCAGTCAGATTTGTGGTCCCACTATTCTCGTTCTTTCTGTTCAGAATCGACAGAACGACAAAGGTATCACTCCCAGACCTTGAACATTTAAATTAATCTTTCCAGGCTTGCTCTATCGAACCAATTCTGTACCGAAAAGCGAAACTTATAGGTCTAAGCCCCTCACTGAAGAGGGCGAAGGTTTAACAATACGTCATATGAAAACATCAAGGATAGACGAAGACGTTCGGAACTGACAGAAGTGCTTGTCCAGGATATTAAAGTGCTGCTAATGAATCTGCAAAACTGCTAACTGTGCTTGTTACTGGCTACTCGTTCCCGGTCCTCATTTTAGTTCGTTCCCCTTGTTTACGTAGTAATACAGAAAGAAGTGCAAGGCCTTTTCAAACAGTGTATTTTGACCTGTGAAAGGCAACAGACATCCTTGTATAATTCTCTTAGCAGTGCTAAACAACTATAGTTGATTCGTTACAATAATTTTTATTATTATATAAATTAAATTAATGAAATATTGTGCTAAAATATTTAAATCAAAACCCTTTAGCTCTATTCGAAATTAATTGTTTCGCGCGATTCTATACAAAATACACTCAAAAGTTGACAACGTTGGTGAATGTGATAAGCAAATGCCAGTGGTTGAAATGAAAAAGGTCTGTCTTTTTTTCCTAGAAACGGCTGCCGTTCGAAAATGAGGAGAAAAGCGTCGAGTTTCGCAAGCCGTGAAAGAAATAAGAACGTTTGCGCTTTGCAAAGAAGGTCCACCAACTTGCCGGACAAAAGCGTCGCCCCTCTCGACCGTTTCAAACTGGCGCACATGTAAGATTTTTCTCGTTTAGAAAATTGTTTTGTAATCGAAAATCTTCAATATTTCAGAACGTCACTATTTGACTAATGTCACTACTGTTTGATTAAAATTTGGTAGGTCAATAGTCGTGAGATTAATTAAAATAATTAATAGGAGATGTATTAAATTATCCCATTTTGCAGTTTATAGGACAGATTGATCCACCCATTTATTGTACGTGATTACAATTAGGAAATATTTTCTTTGAGAGTAAAAAATAACAATGAACAAGCAGCATCTTTTCAGCAGTCAGCGTGTTGACCTGGTAAATAGCTCGTATAGTCGGACGATATGTCAGTTCATTTTGTCTTCATACTTGGTATTCATCAAAGGTACGCGCGCATTGTAATATTTGAACTTATGTTTAATCAGGCTGTTTAGTGATTACCCTTCTGTGAAGTCTCCCTTTTCGTAATATTGTCCATTTGATATAAGCTAAAGTTTGAAGTGCGAACCTCGTCTTTTATCTCATTTGACAAGTGTTTTATCTACAAAATAAGACTATGGTTGGGTAATTGCATAGATAGTTTAACGAGTCAATTCGGTTGAACATCTGTAGAGTTTAATTTGATTCTTTTTCCTGACAATTAAGAGCAAATAAAACAAGGTGTGGCAAAAAAAAGAAGATACTTACTGCGTCTATACAGTCTATAAGTGTGTGGTGTTAAGTGATCGTTAGTTTATGATTATTTGAAGATCGTGAGATGCGGTCTGGTGTGACGTAGGTTTTAGAAAAACATTTTCTTTATCGTGCCATCGTTTCGAACTTTATTGAGATCATCTTCAGTGCTCAAAGTGTTTGTTCTCAATTGGGCACTCTCAACACGACCCACAAGATTGACACATCTAACACTTTGAACCCTGAAGATGATCTCAATAAAGTTCGAAACACGTTGGCACGATAAAGAAAATGTTTTTCTAAAACCTACGTCACACCAGACCGCATCTCATGACCTTCAAATAATCTCAGTCTATAAGGTTATTGCATTTATTCTTCTTAACTTATTGATGATAATGATTATGATGAAAGGATTATTTTACTTTCATTCACCTTCTGGCTTATTGTACTTTCCTAATTCCTTAGTTCAGTCGACTTGATCCGATAATCCCCTTATTGAGTGTCAGACAGGGTGTGGCTGCTTTTGTTCCGGACTGTTCACTGCCTGGGGTGAGTCTTTGCTCTCGACTTTTGTTTTAAACATCATCCCTTTTTGAACTAGTTTCTTTACCAGAGTAGGGGGTGGAAGTCGGGGGAGTTCCCACCCGCGGGACCTTGCGAAGACGGGTGTCGCTCACTTCGTTGACGGGAACCCGATTTATAATGTCCCACGTCGCTACACATATATATATATTTTTTTTTTCCAGCACTAAATAACTCGACTTAGTTATTTGGTTGATCGGTTGTCCATCTATTGCAACTTTATGTTTTCCAGGTTCGTGGGAAACACCGTGGTTCACGTCTGGGTCTGCGAAACCTTCGAAGTTCTTATTTATTTGACCAAATGTGCAATTATTGCAGGGCTATGTTTCTCTGGTTTGAAAGGAACGTCAAGTCGCTCCCATACGTACCGTGACCAACTGCTTAATTAATTATTATTATTGAAGAGTTATGTTTCCCAGATTTGTGGGGGACGTTACGTTGTTCCCGTCTGGGACCCCTTCCGATTTACAGCCTTTTTCTTTGGTCGTTTAAACTATTTTTTGTTCTCACTTGCACAACTAAAATTAATTTTAAGAGGTGATCGGCTCATTGAGATCCATATAATTGACATATGGGGTTATTATTGAATATACCCATCTTATGTAGATCTTTTCTCAGATGGCAGTGTATAGTCCTATCACTCCTCTGAATTTGTCCCTCTCCACCTGTTGCAGTTAGTGTGACAGTCTTGATAAGAGTTGTTTTAACATAAGTTTACTTTGTCTAGAACCCCTATAGTTTATCCACTCTTTTTTTGGATCCATTTTGTCATGGAGGATTCTATATTTATTGTTGTTATCCCAAGATCAGGTGCCTGTAATGGTCTTGCAGATTCTCTCTGGTCAGTGTGTTTGATTTTTCGTTAACAACATTCCTTTGTGTTCGTGTACCCACGGAATCATCAGGTTGTCCATGAATTATAGTTCTTCGTACTCTATCTACTACTGTGACTGCTGATGCGAAGTACGAATTTGGAAGACTTGTACAAAATAAATTTTAAAAAGTCGTTCTTTTCGTGCGTTTAAAGATGAAAAGTGCAGAATGGCCGGCCTTGTAACTCAACTGCTGATAATATTTTATGTGCCATTTTTCTAGGTTTTATTCTTAATCTATACTTGATTTATACATATAAAAAATTAGTTCATTATTTGTATTTTTACCATCTTACAATACTAATATTTCGGACTGTCACTCGGAGGAAAACAAGCCGACACTGGAACTCGAAGAGAAGGTGAAGGGCCCAGGTCTCAAGGTTTTCGTTCAAACAGAGGATTTGAATAGACGGTAGGATCAAGAGCTCAAAATAGTATTGAGATTAAACGGACAGGAGATTACGCGGACAAGCTGGTCTAAGGTTTGTTTCTTTTCTCAGTTTTTTCAAATTTAGGGCAAATCATGATATGTTCAAAGGTTTCCGCAGTTTGAGATCTGTTGCATAATGGTGAATCTTTCAGCCCAAAGCGGTGCAAACGGACCGTTTTTAGCTTCCAAATTGAGCAACAAAACTCACTTTCCTTGAGACGAAAACTATGGAACTGCACATCCATTGCCTATTTTAGATATATGCTTCCAACTACTACTTTGGTCCATATTTTTTTTAACACTTCTTACATTTCATTTAGGTAGCTTTATTAATAGGTCCACTCCATTAACAGTAGATTCTTTTGCCAGCTCGTGGATTACCCTTAATTTCAACTTGATCTCAGATTATGCGAGCTGGACACACTGGTGCGAAGCCTTCGTACGTGTCCGGCATACAGAAAAAGGTTGCTAGATATTTACCACCTAATTGAACGATGCCATTCTTTGGTTCCATGTAGAGAGTGCGAAGGAATGCCACCCGATAAGAAAATTGCACTTAGGGTAGAAAGTGTAAAGAGGAATGATATGATGGAGGAATATCGAGTACTGCACCATCACAGTTGATTAAATGGTATGCAAATAGGCAAGAATTTAAGATTTAATTTAATCTTTTTTTTACATTATTTTCATCTACATCTGTACATGGATTATATAAAACCCAGCAGATTGGATTTCAATTTGTGATTGTGACATTACGGGCGTTATAGAGAAAGGCAGCCGCTCTGGATTAATAAATGATATTAATCATTCGAGAGGCCTCTTATCCATACTCTTTCAGTCGCCTACGTGGAATTGTGGGGAATAGAGTAATCGTAATTTGTGTAGTGTGATCTAGTAATTTACTAAAAGAACGTCTGTAATGTGTTTTCTTGGATGAAAAAACACTTGGCATATGAGGATCTCTGTGGTATATTATTTTCAACGTAAGATCTTTAAAGTTTGGAATGAAAACTTTGTAATCTTTGTATATTACAATATTTGGCAATCCATAAGCTTGGCACTCATACATCCAAATAGGTTTGAGTAGGTATGTGTATGCCGAAAATTTTGATTTTAATAGTAATTTTGATTGATGGTTGAGTAGGTAATAAAGCATTTTAAATCGTTTGTTTAGTGTCTTGTTTTTAACAATGTGTGTATTCCACGTTAGACTTCTTTCAAATGTATGTCATAAATAGTTAACTTTGTCGGGTTGAGGAACTGGTTCATTGTAGAAGTATTTGCCAAGACAAGTCTTATGGCAGAGTGAAAAGGGTGACACGTTGCGACTTTAAGGAGCAAAACTTTATTTTCCAAAGATTGCACCATATTCCCATTGATATGTGGTTTTGTAACATAAGTTAAGCTTGTGACTTGAGAGGGTTGATTGATGGAGGTGTCATCTGTGTAGTGGTGGTAAGTGCATTCTCATTTATGGGCATGTTAGAAGTAACTGTACAACAGCGGAGCGATTATTGATCCTTGTGTCACACCTGCGAGCACTTCTTTCATATCATAAGTCTCCGATCCCAAGGTTAGAAAAATCTCTCCTTAAGGTAATCAGGTAATAGGCCTGGGGTAAAATTAATTCCCTATACTTTGTCGAAGGCCTGAGAAACATGTAAAACACTCCAGTCTTGTACAATTTCTGCTAGAGATATGAAGTAATGAAATCTGTAACAGAGAATCTGTTTTTTTCAAACACAGACTCTCTATTATGGAGTTCCATAGCTTGGACTGTACTACTTTAAACAAACTATTGAAATTTGTAACTCTGTGAAGTTGATAAATAGTGGAAATAAAGCCAAATTTATGGTTTGGTAAGGTTTGAAGTAGCAAGAGAGATAATTTTTTGTAAATTAATTTTTCGAATAGGTTAGAAGGAACGAGTAACAAACTAATAGGATGATAAGATGATGGGGAGCTTACATTTTTATGAGGCTTTGAGTTAATTTAAATTTAAGAAAGTTTCCATTGAATTTGAAAGTATGTATTTCTCAATTTGGCGTTGAATAAAGAAGTCAGAAAAAAGACGGCTTTTTTTGGGAAGTTGAATATATTTAGATTTAAAAACTAATGCGTTGGATGTTAAAATGACCTAGCAGTTGACAGTTCCTGAAGCTTAACTTGGGAGGCGGGAGAGACAAGACTGAAATATAACTAGCCAAAACCAGAGTTGGTCATTCTTGTCTCTTGTTTGTTATAAATTACACAAAAGCAGATATAGTTGGTAGGCCCTGAGAAGTCATACGCCCGAGACCATACACGTGTATGTGTGTGTTTTGTGTGGGTCACATTTACGGCATTACATGAAATTATATGTACATTTTATATTCGAATGATTGCACGATTTTATACATCACATGAACAGTTATTGTAATTCTAGAAAGTTGAATATTTCTTTTATGAGTTTGTTTAAATGTGGTCGAC